TTCGCATGTCGTTTCAGCCATACAATTGAGGAAAATTGTTTCCCACTCCACCGGCGAGAGTTTACTCAATGCGGTCCGTACTTTCACTTGCACAAAGTGCCTGCTGTTCTGTCGCGGCAACGGATCAAGAATCCGCAGTAGGTCTGCGAATTCATTTATCAACAATTGGGATCTCTGAGGGATGCGTTGGGATAGGTTGTGGTCTGTCTTAGAATGTTCCCTTTCTAGCGTTCTCATGATTTCGGTGATGTGGGGAGCGCGCCGAGGTAGGGATTCTATTCTTTCCCTCAGGGATTCGATAGGTTCGCGGACGAAGGACAGCCTCAATGTGTAGAGAGCGTCGACGCACAACTGGAGAACCCAGATCTCATTCAGTCGGTACTGGACGCAGATACCGAGATTCCAATCGCTGCTCCGCACGAGGCCTGAATTATCTCGAGGGTTCGACATTTCAGGGGCGGTGGTGCCTATACTAAGGTAGCAGCGTCTTTCGGAGGTCGAGATGTGCGGCGGGGTGGGTTCAGAGTAAAAAAACGTGATCAGCCCCACCTCGCCCTCCAGGAACATATGCCACGCCCTTCTGTAGGAGGATTTCTCGACGTGGGTGTAGTAATCAGCAGGGTGTGCTTTCCGAACACGCTGCTGCAGGCGAACACAACTTATGGAGCCACAGTACTTATTGTTGCTAATCGCGTGAAGACTCTTCATAAACTCCTCGGGCATGTCATTTAGCTCAATGGCTTCTTTGATGGAGAGGAATGTTTCTTGGCCCATTTCGTTAGCGATTGAAAGCACGAACTGAACGAAGTCGCTCAAAGGCATAGGCCTGTCTTGTATGGTCTAAGGATAGGGACAGACTTTCTGACCAACGTTTGATTAATGTGAGAGAGGAAAAGATAGTCGAGCTTTCCAACTTTTCCCTAAACCAAGTCTGAGCCTCATAAATGAGAAGAGAGAAAAATGAGTGTGTGCATTCATCTATAGCACCACCGCGCCTACGAGAGTAAAGGAATTCAGTTACATTGATTGAATTTATAAAATTGTCTTGTTCATATGTTTTACGACAGAAGGAATAAATTTATGAGAAAGACTAATAATGCAGCCTTCATTAATTATCCTTCCACAAATCACTTACCTTACTCTGTCAATGAATGCCAATACAATTGATGAAGCAAATCGCCAGCTGCCTGTCCTGTACCCAGAGTACACCTCAGGGTGCGCAGGGATAGAGCTTTGGTTCAGAGCTTCTCTCGTGCTTTCTGCAGACCTGCACGAGCCTGATCGAACTGTGTCTAAAGGTGATCTGTACGCTCGGAGACGGTGCTTGCGTGGGGTTTCGTTTCGGCCGCTGCTTCTTCATTCGGCCACAGCCCACGGTTTCGCTCACGAGCGACGGCGCGCATCTGTTTCAGTCGCTCCGCTTCAAACTCCATCTCATCCAGCTCCGTGAACAACCCGGTTTTTGTGAGGTAGCGATGCAAGCGGATATCAAACTCGTATTCAAGCATACGCTTTTGCGCCTTCCAGCGTGCCCGTTGATCCTCCATATCAACGCTTGTGAAGTCTATGCGATATTCATGCCCTTCCGCAGTATCAACCGCCCCGTAGCTGCCGTGTTGTGGTGGGTATTCCGCAATTCGACAGAGCGCCCGCCCTGGGGGGGTTTTATTAATGAGCAAAGTTTTGGCGAATGTGATGAGGCTCATACCAAGCCATACCGGCGCCAGATACGGTGGTATTAGGGGTAAGGGGGCAAGAATTGCAGTGATCCCTCCGTCGCTCCAGAGGCTAGCGGCGGGACCATACAGTAAGCTCCCTGCTGCCAAGGTACCATAGCCCAGACAAACCCTACGTCGAATTCTTAGTGCCCAACTATCCATGCGATCGTTAAATCCAAGTCGACGATGAAGATGTTGCACGACGTTGTATAAGGTAAGAACCGATGCGATGGTGAGCGTGGGATCGATAACGCACACCATAGCGTCTGTAGGAATGGATGCTGCCACAGCTGAAGCAGTGGGCATCCACTCAAGTGATACCACTGGGGCTGCTCGCGTGCTCAGCACTACTTGACTAAGCGGGTTTATGATATGCGCGCTCGCACCTTGAGTAACGCGATCAAAAAGTATATGGGATGGTATGCAGAGCGCATAGAGCGATAGCAACGCGGCCATGGCGTGCGGGACGAACATTTTTATATTATTCGTTCGGTGGCTGCGGAAGAAGCGATTCCTGTCATTTTTGAGCTTCTGCGCGGCGACCTTCTTTTCCCAGATGACAGCGTTAGGATGCTGAGAAATGTAGAGGAAGTCCCTGTGTGCTTTCTGAAGCTCCGGCATTGCAAGCGCCATCCGCGCGACGCACTGATCCCCGTAGATTGTAGGGATCAGGGATAGAGAACGAAACAACGCACCACCGAGAACGAGAACACCGAATGGAGAGGTAATACCCGCCCAGTGGGAGATAAACATAACGCTGCCCGCCAAGATGGCTGAAGCAGCGCCACCACGCCGCACTAGGGACGGCCTAATACACATTTACCTCAAGCGTAAATATCGATTTAATCTACAGGCCACTCTTTTATTTCTGTGTTTGTTATGCAACAAGGAATGCCTATTACACTAAGTGATTTGTGATTGGGGGGTGAAAAATGTATTTCATCGTAGGGATCATGTCATTCCTGCACACCTAAGCTATATCAGAGAATCCTTTCCTTTGATCCTTCTCCACACCCTGTTTGTTTATTCATGAAATCTAATTCGGCACTGTAACAGATGCGTGCTCTATGTTCTCTATGAAGCAATATCCACTGTATGTTTAGTTGTGCTATGTAAGCTTTTTTCTTCTTTGTGTATTCAACAGCGGCTTCTTTTTCTATAGTTTTTCTCTACTTCACGTAGGGAACCATTGACGTCTTTTGGGCACAACGCGCCAGTCGTTTTCGTAGGGGTAGTGGTTTTCAAACTACCCGACGCTGCTACAACAACTACTACTACTGCGACTACTCCAATCACTGCGTTGACTGCTTTTCCTGTGTTCCCTCAGAGATGGAGCTTCATTCAACCTCAGCGACGTTTGCGAGACAGTATCGTGGCCGCTGGATACCGTACTTACCTCTTTCGCGATTTTCCCTTTCAACTCCTGTGGATGAGTCGTGGTAGTTCTTACCCCTGAAAGGAGGTTATTCAAATGCTTCTTAACAAGGTCTTCCTTTACACACAACGCTTCCCATCGATCTTTTCGTTTTCGCTCTTCTTCGGCAATTCGTTCGCGTTGTGCTTGGGTTAGCTCTATCAGCCGCGTCAGCGTATCCTGCGAAAGCAAGAGCCCATTAGTTCCCGATGGCAAACATAATACGTTGCTTGAGCTGGAATCCATCAGAAATGGAGTGTTTACTACTGCTGTTGGTAGTCTTTCCACCTGCACCCGATGCTGATGCAAGAAGCATTTGTTAGGCGTAGGATCGTGCATATTCTCATCAGTTATGATGTCTGGGGAATATTTAGAGGCAATGGGCGATGCAGCCCTTCCATAGCTGATTCGCGAACACCCTATATTATTATCATTACCTTCGCTTCCATTTGGCAACTGCCGCGATTTGAGAAGTGCGAAGCGTGCCCTTTGCAGTAGAATAGCCTCCGCTTGTGATCCATAGTAGGCCGTTTGCTGAGAACAGTAACCACGACCGTCATCCCTGAGATCCCCATGCGAGGCCCCCTCTGATGCCTGTTGTCCGCTTTCACTTTTCCCTATTGAAGTGTTGTGTACGTCCGTGGCGGATAGGCTTTCTAGGCGGCTTTCCAAGATCGATACCAAATGTTGCCACTCACGCTGCCTCGAATCTTTGTCAGCTACCCAAGACTGTTCAAACTCCTCCAGAAGGCGCTCTGTGTGGGAAAGTTCACGACGCACAGTTCGACGACGGTGATTTTCCAAGCTTCTTAAGCACTCACCTCGCGCACCAGGGGCCTTACCTGAAGATTTGCCGCGTTTTTCTTCCTCTATCCCATGCGCAACAGCCTCAGCGGGGCTTTCGTTTTCACCCTGGGTTCTGTTGGTTAGACAGGCCCGCAGCGTTCGCACCCCAGCCCGCCACCGTTCCACCCGCTTTTCCATCTCCCGCCGCTGGTAACTCCAATTGCAGGAGGCGAGGGCGATGGACTGCGCAGTTGCCGCCAGACGTGCGTCCACCCCCTCGAGCTCCTCTAAAAGCTCCGCCAGCACGCGGAACTTGCGTTCTCTTGTGCTCCACAGATCATCCATAACGTCGTCGAGCTGATGGACGAGGGCTCGCCTCGGCTTAACGTGCTCTTCTCGCCAGCACCGAATGCCCTGCATGACCTCTTCACTGAGGGCGGAGGGCAACCAATCGATCGCGTCCTCACGTCGTATGATGCGATGTCTGACATGCGCACCGGCAAGCGCTTCCCACGCATCGATCAGTGCATGACATGTGACACAGTACAGCACAAGGTTATCGTCATCGTGTATTTCATCCGAAGCTACATGCGCGGCGTGTGTAGGCTCCGCTAAGCTCTCCATCGCATTCGCCCCCCCCAAAGTTGATGACGACGCCCGCTCCGAGGCACCCAACTCAACATGAAAGGAGCTGGGGGTCACCACACTCATCATTAGGTCTATATGGGAAGAAAGATATCACACACAAAAATAAATAAAAAAAGAAGAGGCACATGAAAACAAAGAGAGTCACGTGAGTAAGAGTAAAATAATACGTGTCAGAACATTCTCAAGAAGCGGTAGACCCATAACTAACTTAGATGAGTCTTAAAGGGAAAGGAAAGGGATACATGTTTGTCCCCTTGGTTCAGGCTCTTTCATTGTTGTTTACTAGCTCTTATACTCAGTGTGCTCCTTCAGTTAGCGCGGTTTTGTGCACCTTCATCTAGGTTACTAGTCAATCATTTATTTCTCGTCTTAGTTTCTTTGGCATTGCTGCGGATGGCGGCGCGGCATTTTCGTCGAGGCACTCTCTCCGACGGCGCTTGTCCACCTCGTTGGAGCGCTGTATCGTTGCCTTTTGCTTCCATGAGATCTCCGTTACGCGAATGATCATGTCCAGATCGCTCCGTCCACCACCACCCTCTTCAGTGCCGAGGGTTCTCGTCGAGAAGCTCCACAGGTAGACCCCGCCGCGCTTCTCCCGGGTGACTTCTGCTAAAATGGCTTGATTCAGCTGTTCCAAATCGACATTGCCGGCGGTTTGACCCTCATGCCGCCCAACTGAGGCGGGATTACCTCCACGGCATCGATCAATGAGTGTCTGCGCCACGAACTCGGCGTCGTAGGGCGCATCGCAGCCCGAGGACCCGGAAAGTGTGCCTGCCGCGTTCTCCGCATCAAGCAGTTTGAGAAAAGGGCCTTCAACATCAGTCACTCGCTGCTCGCAGAAATTGACGACGCGGCATTCGCTCGGGTTGGTTTCTAGGATCTCGCTTAGCGTGTAGAGCAAGCTTGGCCAGTCTTTGGGGTTACCGTAAAGGGCATCGCATAGAATCACCATGTGCACCGGGATCCCAGCCTCTACCAGCGCCTCCTGCTTGGCTGAAATCCCCTTAACCCTTTTCCTTCTTCCACCCCCATCCTCATCTTCCGCGTCGATGGAGGTGTGCGATGCGAAGACACTCTGGCAGCCCCGCATGGCGATGGAAGGCTGGCGTAATGCGCTGAGTGCCTCGACAACAGCGGATGCCAAGGCCGCATCTTCGCTTGGGCTTTTGTCCTTGTCGCTACGCTTGCCTGGTGTCGCCCCAAGCTTCTTTAATCTTTTTCGGATGTTAATTGATTCACCAGGGCCCCAGCGCCACTCCAGTGCTTCACAGTGCCCAACGCCGCCGCTGCGCTCCCGCACGCGCCGGCGGTTGAGTTCAATGTTATACCGGATGAGAGGGAGCAATTCCTTGAGGTCAGTTATGCACACTGTAGCGCCGCCCATCGCGAGGGCGATGCCAAGGCACCCGACCCCTGCCCCCAGCTCCACGATTCTTTGCCCTTTCAACGATGGCAACGATACAAGAATGTGGTCATGCAGCCAGCGCAGCGCAGCACCATTGCTATTCCACAGGACAGCCCCCAGCTGATCCTCCGCCTCTTCCAGCTCTTCCTCTCGGTCGTCTTCCTCCTTTTGTTCTGCCCCTTCCAGCACCGTGGGCACCGCCCAATGCCGCGTGCAAACACTGCCGTACGGACTCTCGACCTCTTCCTCAACCCACGTCAACATCCAGATGATCGAGAGAAGTCCTGAAAAGCGGTAAATGAGGTTCACACGGGCACTGATGCAACTTTTCTCACTCCCTCCCCCCGCTTTGATGGGTGTGATTCTCCTTTGCGATCGCCTTGTGGAGTATATCCACCAATGCCAATATCATGATACATGTATAAATTTACCCCCAAAGAGACATAGAAACAAGCAAAAAAGAGTTTGAGTTACCATTAAAGTAACTATTCACTACAATTTTATCAATATATATATATATATATATATATATAAACACGAATGCATATGGAATCCAAAGTGCTTCAAGTTTATTCACACAATTCCGTTTATGAAAGCACAAGTTTTTGCGCCCGAAACGCGTTTTGCAAACCCTGCTCCACTTTTTCCAAATCCTTTAGCGTGTGCTCGGCCTTTTCAAGACGTTCCCGCATCTCCAAGATCTCCATCTCACGCAGCTTTGTGAGGAATAGCCCCGTCTCACGGGCCTCCCGTACAGCCGCCTCCAAATACTGATACACGTGAACCAGCCATTGTCCACTTCTTATACTCGCATTGCCATTGTCGCGCTCCTGGGGGTGTTTTTTAAGTAGTGCATCGGCTGCGAAGGGGTAGAGTCGATCCTTAGTGTCCGCATAACATGCAACCGCGACGGACTCCACCCTCCGCTGCACGTCCGCAAGCCGACGGTTGACGATGTTGAGCTTTTCCTGAACAGCCGTCTCCAACTGCCTCAGCGCGGCGTCGGTGGAGACGTTTGCCCAGTCCCCCAGTGCCTCTCGTGCCTGTGACACCGCTTTCCACGCCCTCTCTTCCTCTACCAAGACCTCCGCGTCGTTTGGGGGCTCCTTCAAGATGTCCGCGACTAGCTGCTTAGCCGCTGCGATGGCGGCGGGGGATAGAGGGTCGTCCGCGGCC